CGGTATGGTTTGCTTGAATGATTCGCATTGTCTACGCGCGTTAATGAATGTGCATATGGTATGTGTTGAAAGGAGAAGTTAAGGGAAGCAAAGCGAAGGGAAGAGAAGAGATACGATGCGATGATTCATGATAAAAAAGAGGAATACGGACTGGGATGGAGAAAAGGGTGTTTATCTATGTATGTTATGTAAATAAGTATACCCAAGCCTATCAGTGGCTATGGCGATGAATTGAATTGAATTTCTATAGAATGATAGATTATGATGCTTTGTGTGGAATGGGATAATGTGTGATGGATGTTGTGGAAGGGAAGGGAAATGGGAATGGAAATGAAAGTAAATATATCTATCTATCTATCCAACCAACTAATCGTCCATTCAAACCCTATCTCATCCCATCATGAAGATATCTCGAGTAGATATCTCTGTGTCTGTGTGTTCAGGCATCATTTATCTAGATAACTCGTTGTTAATCACTCTAGTATCTCTGAGTAAAGTATACTCGGAAAGGATATCATAATATCATTCTGAAGCGGGAAAGTTAACTTATAAAGTTGAGTTAGAAAGTTGAGTTAAAAAATTAATTGAATATTTATTAATCTATTTAACGAAATAATTGAAGATATAATATAATTCATTAGTATATAGACTATATCATCTTATAGACCATTCTATTCTATATATAAATTTCGTCTATATATAATCATATACTTTCTTTATTAGCTTATAGAATTCTATAAAGGTTTAATATATAAATCTAAATTATATTAATAATATAAATAAAAAATTTAAAAAAAGAATTCTAATTATTAGTATATTTATTAAATAAAAAGAGCTTTTATAATATAAAATATAATAATTTCAAGCTAAAATGAATGATTTAGAAAAAACCCTAAATATTATAAATATTTCATTTTTACTATGATTTTTCATGATTTTTTCTTTCAAAAATAAGAATTAATCATTAGAATACTATTAGTATCATCATGAGGATGATGAAGTCAATATAGTACTATAGTTTATATTATTGTTATATTACTTAAGGTTCTAAAAGCTAGGGCTACGAAACGTATTACTATAGTGTCGGAAGACGCTAGCGTCAACGCTAGCGTAGTCACATGATCCCTGTCCCAACAAATACAAATATTAAAAAAGCTCGATTTTAGTAAACTCAGCGAAATAATTAAAGATGTATAGTATAAACTAAAAACATTTATAACCTCAACGTTTTTAAATAAAATAAGCTAAGTGTTACAATGGGTAACAGAATGCCATGTGACCAATGTCACGTGGTGGAGTCCCCAGGAGCCAGGGCTCCAAGGAGGTCCTTGGGAGCCAGGACTCCAAGAAACTCCAACCAACATCAGAGTACGAAGATCTATATAAGGGAACAGGATTTCATTACAATGTAGAGCTTCATACTCAAGAACAATCATTAATTTTATTACTATAGTTATGAGAATTGTAATCAATTATAACCTTATTAAATTCCTATTTAAAGTTTAATTTAAACTATTTCGAAAGATTTCTAAACACTTCCACATGATTCTAGAGGCAGCTTCCGTAACACTATAATTGCTATATATAATTAATCAATATAATAATTATATTAGTGAAAAGTTTCTAAGAGATGAAAATTAAAATAATTGAAATAAAAGTAATTAAATCTATTAAATTAATTTAAAAAATGCTTATTTTTAAATGCTTTTTTAATCTTTAATAATTTAATTCATTTAATACTTTTCATATCGAAATTTAAATATATTATTAAATAAAAATCTTGTTTTTCAATGTATATATATTTATAAAAATTCATTTATAATCGGAAAAGTTATTTATATTTGAAATAGAAAAAAGATTAAAATTATTATTTTTGAAGGGGTGAATTCACTTATTTTCAAGGATATTAAGTATAAAAATTAGAAATTTTAATTTACTTGTTTAATTTCAAACTTTAATAACTTTTTTATTCTATGAAATTAAAAGGGAAACTCTATTTGTAATAAAACATTACTTAATTTTCAATTAAATGATAAAATATAAAAACAAAATATTGAAAATTGATAGAAATAAATAGAATCTAAAATATATTATGAAATTGTACTTATTTTTATCAACTTATTATTTTTAATATATTATATTTCTTTTATTTCTTATTTAAATTCTATAAAACTTTATTTCTATATAGAAAATATATTTATAAATTACTTTACAAAATTTTATTAGGTTAAAATAGAATTTATAGAATTTAAATTCAATTTTAGTTTATACTATATATCTTTAATTATTTCGCTGAGTATTTTTAAAATGATTTATATGATAATATGACTTCTATACTAATAAACTGAGAAGAGAGAACATGAAAAAAGTTAAAAAGAATTTTTTCGAAATAACTCTCTGATTCATATTATATTCGAAGTAGAAAACTATTTTACATCCTCTTTCGTAACTATTAAATTAAGATCTATTTGAGTTAAATAATCATCATTATTATGTTACGAACGACGCAACATAGGCACGGGACTGGGGCACTAAGTCACGTGGTTGGCTCAGTCTGCCTCAGTGGGATAGACACTGAGCCATAAAAGTATAAACAAACTAGTACTAAGTTATACTGATTATATTGAGTAAGAAGGTCTATATAAGGAAATGGTTTTTATTATAATATAGAGCTTTGTGTTTAAGAATAATTATTAGTTTCATTATTATAATTACGAGAATTGTAATTAATTATAATTTTATTGAATTCCTACTTGAAGTTTAATTTAAACTATTTCAAGAGATTTCTAGACACTTTTACATGATCTTAGAGGCAGCTCCCGTAACATATTAATATAAAAAGGAAATATATTAAACGTTTTTAGAACATTAAAAAAAATTAATACTATTATTATATAGAGTAATTATATTATATAAATTAATAAAAAAGCTTTTTAAAGATTTCTATAATAATTAAAACCTTATAGTACTTAATAATTTTATTAAAAAGACTTTGTATATAAAAAAGAAGATTTTTGAGTATAGAAAAATAAAAAAGGAAAATCTTTTTAAAAAGTTTTATTTATTTTGAAAAATATCCTTAATAAGTGTCGGAACACATGACTAAGGGCATAACATATAATATTATACTTTACCCTATATACATACGAAGTATATAAGTAGAGATAGTATATATATATAGATATAGTAATTCTCTTTTTTGTGTAAAAATAATAGATAGAAATAAACAACCCTTTTACCTATGCATATTATATATACATATCTTATTAAGTCTGCTCAATAATAAGATTATTAATATATAGAAATAAAATTTTCTATAATATTCATAATCATCTTATATAGGAAAATGATATTCTTTAAATCTTAATATGATATATATTTAAGAACAATCCTGAATTATAATAGAAATTATAATATATTATTATCAATTATAATTTTCTTATAATATATAATATATTATTAATTACTTAAAAAGAGAATAATGATTTTTAATAATAAAAAGTATATATTATATTTAAAATCGATATTATAATTTGTTTTATGTTTATCATATGATTTGTTTTAGATTATTAATATACTAAACGTAAATTAAAATCAGCTATATAATTATTAATTTTCTTTATTATAGAGCTTAATCTCCCTCTATTAGAGGAATAATATCAGTATAATAAAATAGAAATAAAAATAATAGGTTTCGAATAGAATCTAATTTGATTAAAGAATTAAAAAGAAAGATTAGAAATAAAATATTCTATATTATAGAATTGAAATTGAATAATCTATATTACCAATAGAATTTGAAAAATCTAAGAATTGAGATATTTTTATAATAAGGTAGTAATTTATTAATGATAGGATTTGATATATTAAAAGAAATTAAATAGAATAGAAAAGAAGAACAAAAATAAATATAAAAAGTAAAAGATTATAAAAGTTATAGAAAGATAAACGAAAAGATTATAAAGATTTTATAATACAATAGAATACTATAATAATAGATTTAAAAATTATTTAAAAGAGAATGAGATTTTCTTTTGTTTTTTATATCTACTTTATATAATTAATATAGTTTAGCTATAGATAGACTGAATCGATTAAGAATTTACTACTACTACTAATAAACTACGTTATGATATTAATTAAAAATAATTATAACTTTAATAATTCTCAATAAAATAAACTAGAATTAATACATATAATTAATTAATATAATAATTATCCTATGTTAAAGTTTCTAAAGAATTGAAATTAAAGTAATTAAAATAAAAGCAATTAAAAATATTAAATTAATTCGAAGAATGCTTATTTTTTAATATGTTTTTAATCTTTAATGATTATAATATTAAAATTTAAACACACTATTAAATAAAAGCTTTACTTTTAAATAAACATATTTTTTAAAAAGACTATTTATATTTGAAATAAAAAAAGAATTAGATTTATTACCTCTAAAAGAATAAATTTGTTTATTTTAGAGATTCGAAATATAAAAACTCGAAAATTTAAATCTCTTCTTTAATTTTCAATAATTTTTAATAATTTTCTAAAAATAAGAAATCATAGAAAATACTTTCTTTCTACATATATAATATATAAAAGACTCATTCTATTAAGTTTTATATAATTTAATTAGAGGTTATAAAAGTTATAGCTAATTCTAATATATACTATATATTTTCAATTGTTTTACTAAGTACTCGAGTATATATATAAGCTTGTATTATCATTCTATTACATCAATACATGTATTCCTCGCTTATCTTCCCTCTCCCTCTCCCTCTTTCTATCTTAGAGCCGTCTTTCCCCTTGCTAATATGTTCTTAACTGTACGAGTACTGATTAGGGATTTACATTTATTCGTTATACACTATCAACAAACTAAGGATTTTTCTCGGTTTCTTATCTGCTCGTTTCCTTCTGCTTCATTTTTCTTAGGTGTGGTGTCTAGAGAGGTTGGATTATGATGAGTGTACTATGGATAATAACTCTTGTACGATGGGGAATTCGGAAGAGAAATAAAGAAATTGTCGTTCCATCATCAAATCCATCTAAACATCTCTAAAATCTCTAAAATCTCTATAATAACTCTTCTAAAATTCAAAAACCAATAAAACCCCATCTACACCTCATGAAGTCCCCCATTTATTTCCCCTCCTTTTCCCTCTCATCCTCCACCGAATTCTCAATCACATCCACCATAAACGCACCACCTAGCAAAATAGCAGGTTCCTCCAAACTCTTATGTTCATAACTTAGCGTTCCTACTCCTCCGGCCTCGAGCAATAAAGTCGGTCCATCCTGTAACGTCTTGCTTACCCATCTCATCGCAAACGCTCTCAATATATGTCCATGCGCTACAATCAATACATCACCCGGTCCCGCTTCCTTTTTCTCTTTCCCAATGACAGGACCGTGGTATTTCTCTCGGATGTCTGAGATGAGGGCATCGATACGTTCGGTGACTTGTTCGGGGGATTCGCCATCCGGACAACCATCGCGCCAAATATCCCATTCGGGAAGTCCGGCGGCTTTGCGATCAGAGCGGATTTGGGCAGAGGTGATTCCTTCGTAAGAACCGTAGTCCCATTCTCGGATGTTTTCAGTGATTTCTACTTTGGCTGATGTGCGGATTCCTAGGGTTTGGGAATTAGCAAATGTTGATGTATATATTAGAAGTTGGGAAATATGATGCCCAGAATATAGAGGATCGAGGTAAGGGAATGAATATTCACCAGATTCAGCATGCTTTCGTCGCTCTTCCCATGGAAGTTTCTCGGCACATCCGACTTCGAGGAGTTCGAGAGTTTTCTGGGCACGTTTCCGTGGGGAGACATAGCTGGATAGTTGTTAGAATTGTGACCTGAGTTATCTCTCTGACAGGAAATAGAATATTCGAGCGCAGCGAGCAAATGGGGGTTTGGGGACGTGCCCCCATGAATAATAGTCCAATAGTTAATGAAAGACGCTCCGCTGGCCCTTCGGGGACCACTGCCGTGGAGGCAGACTAGGAGAAGATAAAAACATACATATGAGCCAAATTTCTAGGAACAATCAATCGATCATCACCAATTAATGCTCTTCCCGTTGCACGAATTCTCTTTTCTCCATTGGCAGTTAGAGGAAGTTCTGTGATGCCTGTATGGCGACCATTGAGAGACCATTCGGTTTCACCATGACGGATCACGAAGACTCGAGGGGTGGTCATTGTGAAGAAGGGTGTGATGTGATATTTGTTTATTTTTTAACTTTCGATTGAGGGGTAGAATGAATGCTTATATTGGCGTAAATTGTTGATTTAAGTTATGGGATAATGTATCCAAAAATCTATGACTCAATTAGTAAATATTTAATTTTTAAAAATTCCAACATCATTCCCAATCCTTCCGAGTCTTAAAATCAAACCTCTACTATCCTCTCCTATTCTCCCCCTCGGTGCGCAAATATAAGTAGCGACAGCGTGCAGGAAGCCAACATCATTGAGTCTACCTACCTGCCTAATTAACTGTGCCTCACTCCTTCGACGTTGAGAATCCAACAATAATTATCTCAAAAGGCCAAGTATTTTCCAAGAAAACAACATACATTCACAACAATACAAATCAAGAATGACAAAACTCGATCAATATGCAAGCAGCTTATTACACAAACCCAAACCCACACCAAAACTATGGGATTCCTGCCCCTCACTTACACGTCTACACACCAATGATGTCGATTTGAGCTCCGGGAGCTCCGTACACCGAACGCAAGTCGAAGGAGTGGAGTTAATTGGTGAGGAAATGGAAATGGAGATGACATTTAGATGGAAGGAGAGAGGAAATGAGATTGTGAAAGAGATGGAAAGGGAACAGAAAAAGGAAGATATTAAACTTACTAATACCGGAGAGAGAAGTAAGAAAGAAATGAAAGTAGAGAGAGAAAAATCCATGGATGAAATTTGGAAAGGAGTTTGGATTTAATTTTCTATTTCTCGACATATCATACAGTATCTTTCTATCTATCTATCTACTACTTATCGGGCAATCGGAAAAGTCCAAGATCTTCCGTCAGGTTTGAACCCGAGATTTTATTTTTCTGGAGCTGCACAGTATCAAATCACCAAACGATAAACTTTGCGACGACATACTTATAATTGCTGAGTACCCCAGCCAGCCTGAAAATGTCAACGGCACAACAAGTACTCAAATTGAAGAGAATAGTCTGGACGGGTGCAATTGCATCGGTTACAGTTGTGGGCACAATATACGGTGCTGGGTTGAAAACGCAGGGAGAACAAAAACAGGTACTTTCCTCTCACCAAGACCTAATTCCTTAGCTCCCCCCTACATCCTCAAAAACAGAAGCTAATCTTTCACCTTCCTTAAAGCAAATCCGCAAAGTCCGCGAAGCCCCAATTTCTGAACGAATTGCCCATCTCGAAGAACAACGAGGTGTATTGGTAGGTAAAAGAATGGGATTGCAAAAGAAGATTGAAGAATCACAACTGAGGAGGAATGGAGCGACAGTTGAAGAAAGTACCCGGGGAATGGAGAGGAAGAGGGGAGAAAATGTTGGGCTCACGATGGAGGGGGAGAGGAAGACGACGAGAGTGGATATGGAGGATAATTTGAGGGTGGTGGGGGTGGGGGTGGAGATTGAAGAGGGGAAGAAGGGAAGAGAGAGAAAGAGGACTTGGTGGTGATGGGATTGTATGCTCAGGAATTTGAGATATTGGAGAGAATAGGCAGCCTACATTTGCGGTAGCGAAGACTTTGACGATGGGGCTAGGCTTTGATCATAAGCATCGATACTTCCATGGACTCGAGAAGAGGGAGATCGACGATGGCGAATACATCACACGACTCAGGAGTGATAGATTTACAGTCAGGCCGAGATAGCTGTGCTACAGGGGTGGCAGCAAATTGCAAGTCGTCATCGAGAAAAGGAGGAAAAGAGAATCGGCGGCCGAATTTCGAGACCAGCAGTCTGCATCATAAACGTGAAGGATTGCAAGAAGATTCTCGTTCCGACCATTGGAAAAGGGATCACCTGGAACTTCCTCTGGCTGACTCACCACCCTGTATGAACCACCTACCTCGCACGCTCAAGCATTGGAAGATGAGCTTTGAATTTGGGGTCGAAGTACCTTCGTGTTTGGGGAAACTTACACGACAGAACATCTGGATCAGATACAAGCCATCATCACATATCAGCTCCGATAGATGGCAAATATGAAATTTATGTTAGCAGCTTCGATGTTTCTAGTATTCATAAGGAGGATGTAGATATCACTCCACAGCCAATGATACCTCCCGCGACAACATCATCAAATGATTTGTATGATGTCAATAAAACCCTTAAGATGATGCGAAGCTGTCTTCACAAATAACATCGTCTTAGATGATAAATGAGTTATTTGCAAGTTTGTTGCTAAGGTTTACATGCACACACTATACGATAGTTTGAGCAGTTCTATCGCAGTCCCTGACATCTTATTATGCAGCAAGTTGCTCATTCAACGTGCATTTCCATTAAATTTTATTTTCACATACGATAGTGATGTTATGGCCTAAGCAGATCCATCATTATCACTAGGCACATATATCTTGACAAAATGATTGATAAAATAAGACTTCACATTTGCAAATGCATTCATTCGTGCCTCGAACCTTTCTTACTGTATGCATGATTTAAGCATCACTGCTATAGTTTTGAGTAGAATTCTCCACCTGCCACAATCCGATATTAAGAAGAATCTGTCCATTTCTTTGGTATACTCCTCTTATGACTTGATCTTTTATCTCTAGAATCTGATGATATGAAAGCGCGAGAACAAAACATTGATAATGTGAGATTCTATAATAAGTATACTAAATCACTTATTAATATCTTACTAATTAAGCTATATATGTATTAATAATATAAGTATAATATGATTTTATATTATAAAATTATATTATTATATTATAATATAGCTATATCTCTTATCAAATTGATTTATAATGAAATAGAATGAGATGGAATCATATGGAAGATTGCTAATAAATTAACTAAATTGATTGATTATATTTTTTCTTTTATAATATAAAATGATTCTATAAGATTTGATTTAAATCGATCTTATTTATAAGTATAAAAACTACTAGAATTTCATTATAAACTATATAAACCTAGAATATTCTTTAAAAAAACCTAAAAAAAAACAAGCAAATTCAGCTTAATTAAGCTCTTTCTTATAATTTGTCTTCAATTCAACTTTTATATTATATTCAATTCGTTCTTCAAGCTAAAGTGACTAAGTCTTCCACTATTACTAGAATATTATTATTATTATATTCTGGAAAATTACCTCCAGCAGATAATAATGAGTACTATATCATATTTTCCTCGCATCTTACTTCTTACTGGGTAATGTAGCAGTTTCATCGTATTACTTCTATCTATCGTCCGTTATAATGAGGGGAAACTCGGTTATGTAACTATAGACTAAAGATGAGATATAACGATATACATGACTAGTTTCCCCAACTTTTTTTTTAATTAATACTTTCAAAAATAGTTTTATTAGTCTATAAATATTTGATTATATTATATCGAATTGATTTATTAGTAAATACATAAATTAATTAAATCAATTATATACATTTTAATAATAATAAAATCAGAGTTTTATTATACTTATGTTACGGGAGCTGTCTCTAGGGTTATATGGAAGTGTTTAGAGATCTCTCAAAATGGTTTAGATTAGACTTCAAATAGGAATTCAATAAGGTTATAACTAATTACAATTCTTATAATTATAATAATAAAACTAATGATTGTTCTTGAGCACAAAGCTCTATATTGTAATGAAACTCATTCCTTTATATAAACCTTCATTCCCTATCCTATTCCTTAAGATCTTTATATAGACTGGATCGCTATGGACCTCACTGCGCTCCAGAAGCGCTACAGCTCCTCGACGCTCCGTCACCTGTCCATAATCATGTGACGCGGTACTTCGTAAGGACCGTCGTAACAACTTATTTATTTAGAAATAATTATAAGTACATAAATCGAAAGTACATTTATTATTAGAGGGGTAAAGCTTTTCATATTTTTATTTTCTCAAATAGAGTAGATGAATAGTCACTATATATAGATAATAAGCGATCGTCTAAATTATACTAAAATTCATTCTTAAAACGAATAAATCTAAATATAATTGTATCTGAATTTTTTATATATATTTATAGAATTCTATTGAATTCTTGTTATAGACTTCAAAAAATGAATAGTTTAATTTTAGGATTTTTATTAATTGTATTATATAGTTTTAAAATATAGTAACTTGAAAATTCTAGAATTTACTAGTAAAATAAGCGAAATTTGAAGAACTTTTATAAGATTTTATTTTAATTATAAAATATTAATTTTCATAATTTATTTTTAAACTATAAAACTAAAACATATAAGTCTTTATTATATAAATAATTCGTTTGAAAAGTTTTAATAAAAAAACATGATTATAAATATTAATAAATTATTATACGAGATATATTAAATCGCTATTTTTTAGTATGATTAAAACAAGCGGTCATCTGTACCCTAGTACTATATAAAATGTTTAGAATATAATATAAATAAATCTCTTAAATTAGCTTTTTTATATTTCAAGCTTTGAGTTTTTATAGTATATATATAATATTAGGTTTCTAATTTATAAGATTTGAATATGTTATATCCCCTAGACTATTAACTAAAGATACTTTTGTTTAATAAAGACTTATTGATTAATTAGATTATATTAGGATTATCGAAATTTTGTTAAACGTTTACATTCAATCTTTAATATAAAATTCATTTTATAATATTTTTATTTTAAAATTTCAAGTATGATAACATCGATTGATTTTTAATCTTTCTTATTTTTATGATTCTAAGGAAATCAAGATTTAGAATCAAAATCCTATTTTATAAATAAAATGACTAAAAAGATATTAAAACTTTATTCTAATTAATCAGACTTTTTTACACAGATTATATTATAGGAATCATTTAAGCATTATAAGTTGACAGTCTAGGAGATAGTTGTAGAGTTATTAATATTTTGATTTTAAATTGAGCTGAAAATTGAAAGTTCTAAAACGCGTCGGCGAAAAAAAGTTGGGAAACTAGTTATGTATATCGTTGTACTATTGAATATACAATCATCTAGTCATCGGTTAATCTTTAAAAAAAAGAAATCATTCAACTACTGAAACGATCACGAATCAACTACATCTAAGGGCCTCACAGGAGGCTCCCCTATGCCGCTAGTGATGCGCGCCCCCGGCGCGCCGAGCGGCTCCCCAACCCAAGAGGTGATCCCCCCTCAATCAAGTACCATTACCCCAGGGGCAAGCATTGCCCCTCCACCAATTATAAGATCGCTCACAGGCTCTGCCCTTGGCGTAATTAAGGATCGATTCGAAAGGATCGATAAGACAGAACGGGAGAAGCGAGAGGTGATCGAGGCGTTCGCAGCACTAGCGGATAAGCTTGCACAAGGCTTCCAGGGTCAACAACATAGACTCGCAGTGAATATTAAAGGGACGATCATCTCCACACTGCTGGGAGCAGCAAAGGCTACTTCTGATCAATGGATAGGGCTCACAACAGAGCATTCACGAACAGAAAGCAATAAGCAGAAGACCTACACTGATGCACTGAAAACTCGGATAGTGCCTGAGGCAGAAAGCCCCACTAAGGCCCCCACCAACACAGGACGCCCTGCTCCTATTGGAGGAGCGAACACTGAGCGTATAGAAGCACGCAGACTCAAGAGGGAGAATGACCGGATCGAGAAAACGATCCTTATAATAGCTAATGGGGAAGCTCTGCTCTCAGAGACAAATCCCTTCCTACTAAGACTCAGAATAAAAGAGGCAGTTACTGGACTCACATTAGCAGAGATCCCCTTCCTTCAAAGGAATAATACGGGCTGGACTCTACGATGCAGCTCTAGCGCCAGCCGGGAGAAGATCATGAAAGCAGATAACTCTGAGCGGGTGCTTAAGACCCTCCATGCAACAAGCATGCGCAGACTAGAGAAGTGGTTCATGTATGCAGTCCCACAAGTACCTCACGATTTTTATCACATCGAAGGAGCTCCTGCTCCTATGCCTACTGAGCTTATCAAAGAAGAGATCACAGCTCAGACCGGCAAGCAGCCGGTCAACTACCGACTGGCACGTAGCGGGGTTAACCCGATCACTAAAAGAGCCACCTGGATCATTGGCTTCAATACTGCAGTATCGCGGTTCCGACTATTCAATAGTAGCTCCTACTCGGTTCTCCTAGACAAACCCCGGGAAATTCAACTTCACAGTACTGGCTGCCTAGGGTACTGCAACCCCTTCACCTGCAACAGAGCCTCACGATGCTCGACATGCGGTAAACTAAACACTGAGCACGAGGGTGCACTCGTACACCAACAATGTACTAGAGCAGCTCAATGCGCCAACTGCCACGGACCCTTCCGCGCTGGCCACTCCAACTGCCCAGCTGCCCCTAGGGTCTATGCTAAGCGACGGATCGTTCTGACCGCAAAGGAACTGGCCGCAGTCAGAGCTGTCGGCAGAAAAGACTACGAGACGCTGCACAGAGCAGATATAGACGAGGCAGAACATACCTCTGAATCACCTCTGTCTCCTATCGTAACAACCGCAGAAACCCCGATCA